GGCGATGCGGCGGATTACCCATGAGCTTTGGTTGCGTGTGCGTCTGACGACCAGTCAACCGTAGACTACGACTAACGAATACAACGAAATAAAATTGATGTTAATGCATAACCTCATCAAACATCGTTGATGCATAATGAACTAATGCATTAGCACTATTGATGACCAATGAGGCGCTGAATAAATGGCAAAAAATTAGAGACGAAAAGAACAGGACCCACGTACGGTTGTTTGGCTGGAGACGACCGACTACGTTGTCAACAGGTCAAAGATGAAGGACGACACCGTGTAGAGTAAACTTTAATAAATAATAGTAGAGAATAAAATATTCGTAACACTGTTGGAGTCAAAAACAATAGTAAATGTCCTCAGACAGCCGCAAAATGCAATGTCAGCAACTCTGTATGCATATTTGCGTGTCCTAAAAAGGTTATTCAACGGAGCCAAACGTGAAGATAATCATCATACACTAAATATGGGCACGCATCAAGTGCTTTCACACATATATGTCTCTATGTCAATTCTTCTATGTATGTATATATGCGTACACGTATATTCATACACGCGTATACTTTCGTATGCAGGTATTTCTGTGTGCGTGCAAGTAGCCGTACACAATTCCAGTGTAGAGCGGTAATGTCCAGTTAGCTTTGTTTATACTTTCATTTAGCGCAGTATTTTTAACATGTGATTATCATTTTACGCCTCAATGTCGGATGCTTCGGAGGAAGAAGAGGATTTCCTCTCCGCCTCGTAGGACGTCCTGAGACCCTTTTCCCCCAGCACAGTCAAGTAGCCTTTGCCGTCTGTGCAAGTCAGCACTGCTCCATTTATGTCTCCTGCCTTGACTTTCGGGTTACCAAGCAACTCCCTCAGGAACCGCGGGTGCGAGAAAAAGAGACCAGAGAAGAAGTTTTGGGCCAAGCAGAGTTCCCTGAGAAACACGTCTTTGCGGAGCTGTAGCACGTCTAGCGACTCTTTAGGTAGAGGCGAATTGGGAGGGGGGATACTTCTGTTCTGTAAAGATGACTGCATGCGTTCGTCTGTCTGCTTGAGGGAGTTGGCACCAATGCGGTGGGGCCAGCCCT